ATTGAAGCTGTTCTACATTTCACATGGGGATTTAAGATGCTGCAGACTTGAACTAGATTTACATAATGCTTTGGACATTACCTCTCACTGGAAATTATTACCCAAACTACTGGGAATGGTGATCAGTGCTATATTAATAAAGTGAACGAAGAGTTAACTGAAAGGGAGACGAAAGCGGGCCATGCTGAAAGGTGAGTAATTAGATAGAAGAGGGGTAACAAGTGATGCTTGTCAGAGACAAGTCTTGGGACCCATCCTGTTTAAGATTTTCATGACTGGTTTCCGTACAAGACTTAGATGTGCTTATGAAACTTGCAGATGATGCAAAGCAAGAGAAAGTTGCTCATAGATTTGAGGTGCACAGTAATGTACAAGAAGAATTGGATAAACTAGTGGAGTGGAGCAATAGAAATGGAGCACAAGAAAGTTTAATAATATGAAGTGCACAGTTAGTCCTGCACCAAGGGATTAACAACAAGAATTTTTGTTTTAAGACGGGGCTTTGTAAACTCAAGGTATTAGAAGAAAATGGACATGGGTATACTTATTGATCATAGAAAGAGCATGAGCAATCAGTGTGATATATATGTGAAAAAGGCTAATAAAAAATTAGGGTATATTAAACAAGGTTTATTAAGCAGAGAAAAAGAAGTACTAGTGCCACCCTGTAAAGTACTGGTAAGACTCCATTCAGAATATTGTGAGTAAGTCTGGCACATATGTTCAGAAGTTTACTTTGGACTTGGACAAGTACAGAGTAAGGCTACTGTGATGGTTAAGAAAATTAAGAACCTATTCTGTTGATATATAAGATGGATAAAGGTTGCTACCAAACATAATTGAATGTTATTTTTATGACAATAAAAATTGTTCAGGTTCTTCAGGTTGCAGAGCATTTTAGAAGCTTGCAGGGGCAGCCTGTAGTGGTCAGCTTCAGACTGGAGCCTATTATCTCTCTAAGTCAGTTCAGTCGCCTCTTTTTACAATTTCATTTACAGGCGGTCCTCGGACTTACAACACAATTGGTTCCTGAAAACCGCATCTTAAGTCGAAACGTTGTAACTTGGAACCAATTTTCTTATAAGAAACAATGTTATAAATGGGGGATTGGTTCCTGAACCAAGGCCCGATACCCTATTTTCACCAAAAATACCCCAAAATTTTGTACTCAATCAATTATAGATGAGTAATATAGCTACATTAATGTATTTATATTGTAAATAGCAATCATATTGATTTGGAAGGACTTCTTTGAGGTGACTTTGTTAGACTTTTTAAAGGGCTCTTGGTTGGACTTTTTGAAGGGTTCTTGGCTGGAGTCTTCTCAGGAGTTCCAGCTGCAGGTTCTTCTGGAGTCTTGTCTGCTTTCTTAAAGAAAGTGTCCAAGGAAGCTTGGACAGATATTCTCCAGGGAGATGAGGGACACAGTGAACTTGTTCGCTGGCATGGCATGACATTGGATCAAGCGTTGTAAAGTCGAAACTGACATCATAAAGTTGAAACAGGGTTTTAATTTATAAACTTTGTAAGTGTGAAACATTGTAACTCGAAACGTTGTAAGTCGAGGACTGACTGTACTTTACTGTAAAGTCACTGAAGTTCAAAGCTAAAAATAATATAGCAAAGGTGCTTTGATGTGGGTATGGCGCACGGAAGGTATTAGATCATTCTTCAGGACCACAGGCTTTGACTTTAATAATTGACATAAAGTAAATAAACTGCATACTGTGATACTTTTCTACCTCTCAGAATATTCCAGTATCTTTGGCCACATGAAGCAGGCAGCATTACAGTGTCAAGGCAGCCTGAGGAAGAGTTGTCTCTGAGGAGGAAGAACTTAATAATTCTTGTAAGGAACAGATTTTAATAGTTATAAATAGTTGACTGTTTTCTGCCCTGAATCACACGGACTTTTGCAGCACTGAAGGGATGTATTTTCTTATTTTTAACCCTCAGTAAAAAGTTAATGGGCTCACTGAGAGCCAGATCAAGCATTCATTATTAATCAATGACTTTCTGGATGAAAAAAATGAGTGCTACGGAAAGTCCATAAATTTCGAAGTGACTCTTTGGTAATAACATGAACAATAAGAGCCACTGTGAATGTTGTTGGCCTACTGAGGGTTGGGTTACTCTTACCTCGCTTGAGCTGCACTGAATTTGTCTTATCAGGGCTGAAATATTAGAAACAAATTATCTGCAGAAAGTAAGTTATTAGAGACTGAAACACTGTAGTAGGAGATAGCATGGCCTAAAGAGAAGTGTTGATCTTGGTGAGGTCTGGAGGCAGAGATATTACATTGGGAAATCTCAACTATTCTTTAGCTTCTAAGTAAACCAAGCACAGAAAACAACCACACCCAAAGGGTTCTGTAAAAAAACATCTTTACCTACTGTATGCAAGGGAAGAATACTCTTTCATGTATTCTGAAAAGAAGGATCCCATCCGGATGTGCAGAGTAGAGAATTTTTATCTCCCATTACAGCACATTGATTTCCCTAGGCAGCAACTGCATGGAAGTTTCATTGCCAATGTGACCATATCATGTAGCACAATGTCTGCCCAAGGAGCCATTTTACATTTACTACCATGCTAGTCTGGCCACCCTGAGGTTCAGAAAATGGGGTGGTCCACCACTCTGCAAGAGAAAAACACCATTAGGATTTAATCTGTAGAAAGGATATGGACTCAAATTACAGAAGTTCAAGGAATATTCACTTGAACAATTAGCAACTCAAGCAGTGCATCAGCGCTGAACCTCAAAATGTAGGATATTAAAGTCAATTGCATCCTCAGCCGACTCATGGAACAAAGCACACTATGTTTTAAATTTCCTTTACGAGAAAGACTGAGTGAGCATTAAAAAATAATAAATACCACAATTAAGATCCTAACCCAGCAAACACTTACTCCATGGGGAAAATGTTACCATCACAAAAGGCCCATTGATTTCAAGTCAGCATTAAAAATTAAGTAAGCAAGTGAGGGTTCCAAGATCACAGCCCAGAAACATGCTGACAATGTGAACAGCCCAGAATTTCAGATATTACCAAACAGCTTCATGCCACCAGAAACCAAACAATGACTACTCAAAAATGGAAATTTAATCAAAACATGCAAGTGTATGACATTCAACTGTCTTTCTTCTCTGGAAAAACACCCAAGATGGTACTCTATTTTGCAAATAGAACCACCAGACGAATGCAAAGATGACCAGAGCAGGGTGCGGGGCCCTGCCCCCGGACGCAAGGAAGCCAGTGGTGGATTTGGCAGCGGGGAGAATGGAACAGGGAAAGCAGGAGTGCCAAGCGGCTGGACCAAGGTTGGCAGCAGCACAGAGTCGCCACAGCCACTGTGCCTGGCTCCATGGGGCCCCCCAAAGCACAGGGCCCAGGCTGGTCACCTCGATTTGCACCCCCCCTCCCCTCTGGGATGGCCCTGGTCACATGTTAAATCAGAAATCAGATGTGGCCAGGATTTAGTGGGTGCGTTTACACAAGATGCTATAGCACTGTAATGACGTGCTATGGCGCCATACCATCCATTGACAAAAACTGTGATGCTGCTGCTATGTTGCCATAGCAATGCACGCCCTCATTATAGCATGGTGCTACAGCAATGTAGCAGCCAAAAATAAGTGTGCGGCTGTATGGGTTATCACTGCGCTGTCTTTTAGTACTTCCAAAAGGAAGTACTAAAAGACGGTGCATTAACAAACGTGCTGTATGGCCACATATGGATGTGCCTACTGTGCAGTAGCCTGATACTACTGCACAGAAGCATCATGTGGCAAAAACCATGGCGAGACGCTACTGTGCAGCATTATTAGGCTACTATATAGTAGTGTCACTTAAAAGGCGTTTGCTGGCACTACTGCACAGTAACTCGTTATTTAGTACTTGCTTATACAAGTACTAAATAAATGTGCAGTAACCACTGAGCAGTAGTGTCTCATGTAGACACACCCAGTAAATACAAAATATTCCTACCTACTGTATGTTAACTTAAAAAACACACATTTGGCACAAATCATTTCGCTGTACAGCAGCATGTACCTCTGCCCAGGACAACTTGAGTCTACTTGCTAGCCACTATGTACCAGGTTGTTTTTTTTTTTAAATGTATTGACTGTTTCATACTAGCATGACAAATCTGATCTTGCACCTACAGCAGTTTTAAATTTGGCTAAAGTTAACTAAGCATCTTGATTTTGCACTAGTTTAGAATAATTTACAGGTTTTAAGCAAAGACAGGAAAAAGAAATACAAAATGCTTCAAAAACCAGTCTGGACAAATGAGATACCTCCTCTACCCCAATCACACTTCAGAAACCCATCTCTGAGACCCAAATCCTTCCTCATGAAGGGTGTTTTTATGGCCTCCTCACACACAAGTTAACCCGTATAGAACAGAAGGAAGCTACAGGGTACAGGATAGCTTTCATAGACATGGAGCTAATGCTCATCCATGTGTCTGGGGGTATACAACCAGTTACAACTCCCATGGGCATAGGGAAGACCACCCCCTACGGGACAAGACAGAAAAGATGAAAAATCAGCACTGATGCCAAACATATCCAGTCTAGTGATGGATTCTTTTGGGACAGGGAAAGGACTGTCAGATAGATGAGAAATAGAAACTCACATTCGATGGTATTACCATAGGAACAGAAATGTAAGTGAACAGACTCAACTTAATGAGGTTCCTGATTTCAACTGGATAGATAAAACGACAGCTGAGCTGGCAATTACTGACAATATACCCAGCTCCTATTAAAAGAGGAGCTCTGCTGACCGTGTTGACACAGCAGGTCCTGTTCTAGGGAAAATGCATACTCTCTGGCCTGTCAGTGCCTGCCCTTCTGAGATCCAGGCTTCATAAGGAATGATGCAGCAGACAGGCAGTAAGGGAGCCTCAGTCACTGCAATCTCAGGCTCTCCCAAAGCACTGGCACCTCAGGGAGATTCTGCTGCTCCAGCAACTGCAGACTTGTGGCAGGATGTCCAGTTCAGACAGGCTCTGGGGAGAAGGGGACCTGCGGCAGCTGCTGAAGCTGTACCGCACAGAGATCTCAATGGCTGTGGACGACGTCTTCCCATTGCTTCATGGACTTGCCGATCACGATGTTGTCACAGAAGAAATGTTCAAGGTGAGAAGGCTGTGGGCATTCCATACTGAGTTACCTACCTATCTGTGCTTCAGGTTACGGCCTTGGGGTGCTCTCTGACCTAGTTCTCCTGTGCCAGGACAGTGTTTTGTGGAGAGCATTCAGACCCCAAACTTACTTTGAATATATGTGCTGGGTGAAGGGTGAGGGAGAGTTGTACTGTATATGAAGATTTCTGAATTACTGTGAAATGTGCCATTTGCTTTCAGGGGGCTGTGGTGATTTTACTTTGCTGTGGGGTACATATATACAGGTACAGCCATGTGCAAGATTTTCAAGTGACAAGTGCCTCTCGGTGCCCAATCTGAGTCACCTTCAAGAAGCAAAAGTGTAAAAGGTGAGCAATTGCCACCTGAAGAACTAGACCCCCCTCAAGATGTCTCAGTCACTGATCACTTTCAGAATCTCAACCAGGGCTCTGGGTTTCTATCCTGGAGACCCGGACTGAAGAGACTGGGAAGGTATCACTGAAGAGCTGGAGAGGTTTTTATTTTTGGCCCCAAAGGTCTGTGTGACCGTCCAGGACCTTCACTACTCCTTGGCCTCTTGCTGTAAGTGTGCTCAGCACAGATTAGCGTGGCAAAAGCCATCATAGGCTGTAGATACATCTGAGGACAGACATCTGAAGCACCTTGGTTGCATTAAAGACAAGTATTATTGAGCTATATATGTCTCAAAATAAAGATGAGGAACAAAAGCCCAGCTGCAGGCTGTGCCTGACAAAGGTGTCTTCTTGTAGCTATCTTCTTCACTGTTACTTTGGGGCAGTGTTTGTAATAGTTTTCTCTGGACTCAGTAGAAGCCACTGGCCTTGCATTTTGAGCAATTGGGTGAAGCTTTGACGTGTTGCAAATTATATCCTTACCTAGCATGAGCTGGGATCTAGAACATGATGCTCTAAAGCAAGCAGCACTGACACTTTCTACTGAGGAGCCAAAATGTAAAGATCAGCTGGTCCAGGTGTTCAATCAAATTCTGGTATTTTTCTGATGTCCTGGTTGTGGCCTCTTCTTTCTCATGACTTGATGAAGTGGCCTAGAAAGGGTTCAGATGTAGGGAATATGTGCGCACACACAAGAAAACCAGCATGAAGAGGTTGGGAGGGGTGACTGGATGCAAACAAAAGGAGCCAAAGCCAACTCTGAAGCTGATGAGCCATTGCAGATGCTCAGAGTCAAACGTAGGAATGAGAGGTGGTCTGGTATATAGGCCCTTTGTAAGCAGGCTGTTTATCCTGCTGCCTCATATACAGGAAAATTACTTGGTTAATAGTTTTTCAGACTCTTCTATTTTCACCAAAGCAAACTACAGTCTCTAACGACACAAAAATAAACCAAAATTTCTGTCCTCTCCAGACACTAGGAGAAGAGACACTTCCTGTTCTAGTTTTGCCACAGAACAGCAGCTTGGCTTCTCCTCACTGCAAGCTGCTCCCTCACTGCTTACTTGATCCTTTCTGCTCTTTCCCCTGGGTTTTAAAGCTCCCAGTGTGACATGACAGCCCCTCATTAGCAGAGTGCCCCACAGCTTTACAAGACTACCACTTCTTAAGGGGACATCTCACCCCTTCTTCTTGTGTTTTCACATGCCTGCAGCATCCTACCTCCCATGCTACTACGGTAATGTATCTACATTGGTTTCACGCTGTGCGATTACATATCTTGTATCACAATTTCACCCTAAAATGAACAAACAATTATGCTAGCGTTGAGAGCCAGGCTGTGAAATGAACCATTAACCAAGGCGAAACTGACTACCGTGTCGGTCTATGAGGAACGCAATGCCCCTATCTCCAGTTTTCATGGTAGCGTTTCTTTTTACTGAAGACTAAATCTAGTCACATACCCTTAGCATCACAGGGGTGGTGATACCATCTGCTGTTATCGCTGCTTGCTGACTCCCACAGAAGCTGCATCACCCAAGGAAGTGAGGCTGGGATGCCTCCAGGAATGGCACAATCTAAGATGCTCTTTTTGTTCTTGAAGGAAACGCTGAGTTTGAAGGAGCAAGAAGGCTGTCACAAGGCCTTTCATGCCATGCTGACTTGGTTGCTGAGCCAGGATTCAGCCTCCATCCAAGACTTCTGGAGGGTCCTCTTCAAAGATTACAACTTGGAGAGATACTCCAAGCTACAGCCCATTCGAAGCATCTTTCCAAAAGGTAGGAGGTGCTCACAGCAGTGCAACAGAGGAAACACTGAAGGGAAAGGACTTCCTCCCCAGGTGTCCTCCTTTTATTAAAGCTTCTTGTGGACCATGTCCTTCTCCTCTTCAGAACCTGGAGGACTAAAAGAGCCTCTCACAGTCCCTTTTCAAGCCTTCAGTGAAGGTGCAGAATGGTGGCCACTGCAGTTTGGGGATCCAGGCAGGATCCGGGGGGGGGGGGGGGGAGGGAAGAGAAGAGGAAAAGGAGTGACCTACTGGAATGAAAGCACTGGGCAGTTTGGGTGGTGCCCTACCCAGATGTGCTATCTCCCTGCTGTCTTGCTTTCCAGATGTGGATCTCAGCCGACAGCGCAGAGGGAGGAAACCACCCACCAGCCCCAAGATGGCAGTGCAGCACAAACATGGGAAGAGGAAAGCTCCAGAGGAAAGGGGCTCTCCACAACCAGCTCAGCCCTCAGTCAAATGCAACTCAAATCCTGGTACAGTCCTGGTTTTGCTGCCTGGCTCTGGTAGGATTTGGTATTGGGCTGATACACAACCACCCTTCATCAAGCCATCCAGCCTCCAGGCTTACCTGGGCCTTTCATACTACCCATAATGCCAGTCTGTTGGAGCAACACATGCAGCTCCCCAAATGGGGTATGGAGGAGAGGTCTGCTTTCTGCTTAGAGCTTGGGCAGACCAGTGTGCCAGTGGGGTACTTAGGGTGGAGGAGAGATATGACTGGGCTTTGTAGGGAGATACTGGACTTCAGGGACGAGGGTAGAAGAGGGTGAGGGGGAGAATGCAGAAATGGAAAGGAGAGAGGAGAATAAGGGTGACTGAAGGCCACGCAGCCCATTGCACTCCCAAAGGCCTGTGCTCCGACTGCATGTGCAGTCACTCTCTGCTGTTGTAGTTTTGTGCAAAGGGGGCAGAAGAGCTAGGCAAACAGATGGATCTTTTGCTCCTCACCCATTCACAGTGCTCATCCTCTCTGCATCTTGTATTTCTGAGTTTCTCTGCAGTCCACATGGTCTCCATGGGGAGAGTGAAGGCCTCTTTCCAGTAACAGGCAATGTGGATTTGTGTCTCTGACTTGCATTGTGTCCCAACAGCAACCCTGCCAAAGGCAAAAGCCATAAAGAAACCAGAAAGTGTGGAAATTCAGCGTTTTCCTCTCGGAAACGGTAAGCAATGTGTTTTACATCATGTGAAGTTTCCCCTCCTTTCCACAGTTCACACAGAGATCTTGTTAGCAGGAATCAGCCCTGAACTGGGTGTGACAGGCTCTTCTGGCAGCTCAGGGGAGAAAGCACCTTCCAGGTGACTGGAAGAGGCTCTGTTGTACTGGTGACCAAAGGCCCCAGTGGTGATTCTAGTCTGGCTTCTCCCACAACAGCACTAAGCCTAAACGGGCTGTCTGGAAGGCAGATGACAAGTCTGGAAGTGTGTGGCCACTTCAGAGGCCCAGCTGAGCAGCAGGCTGTTGTCAGGAGATAGGGGCTCAGTGGTGAAGGTAGGGGGTTCTAGTGTTCCTGAGAGAACTGGAGCAAAAGGAAACGTGATGCATACATCACCTGTCCAGAGCACCTCTCTCACAGGCTTCAGCACACCCTGCTCCAGAGCTCTGCTTGTCCTGTGGAGAGAAACTCCTCTGCCTCTGGTGATCTGAGACCATTTTTTGGCACTGAGTAGGGCTTGGACTGAGATTTACCAGTCTCCTTCCAGTTGAAACCCATATTGCAGAGGTCAGGGTATAAATCTTCCAGGAGCCCCTGACTGGTTGTAACTCTCTGCTTTTCCAGTTTGGGATATCTGCTGGCCCATCCACTGTAGTCTTCCCCAGCTCTCGGGAGAATATCTGCACCAAATCCTCCCTTTTATACAATTGTTTTTAAAACCATAGGCATTCAGAGCATGGCTGCCTCAGTCAAGAGAGCTGTCACTGTGGCATCCAGTGAAATACCAGTGACCTGTGGGGCTGTAGAAGGCATACTCATCAAACAGGTGTTTGAGTCAGGTAGCTATTCAAATGCATTTGGAACAGGAACTAAACACCCGGGGCTGACAGTGACTAAAATGACATTTCGGGTGGGTGTTGAGGTAGCTGAACAGTTTTCAGGGCAATGGTGGGGCCCATATCTATTCCAGCTGGACAGAGGAATCCAGGTGTCCCCACTTCCAGTAGGTAGCCCCAGAATCCTTCCCTCAGGACAGAGAAGGAGACTGCTGCTAGGTGGGGTGAGATTTCACTGCATGGTGACAAGGAAGCTTTAAATGACTCAAATGGTGGGGTTATTGGGGAATGCTGAGCCTGTAGGGGGGAATTATACAAGAACAGAGCAGCCAGAAAGCCCTACACACTGGATAGGGCCAGGGGAAGGAGGACAACCCCACACAGCCCTGACACAGACGGAGTTGGATGTTTGGGGAAGAGCTGGGATGTCAGGGGATATAGGCAAGGGAGACACCCTCCATATAAAAAAATGGACAGGTACCACAAACCCTAGACGGGAAACCCCCACACTTACCCCGTTAGAGATATCCTTCCTTAAGATTTAAAATTCAGGTACCTAAATGCAGACTTACTGCTGGGTTTACCTACATGAGGGGGCCAGAAGGGCAAAGCCAGCCTGTGAACAGCCGTGGGTGGGTTGCCTCCATGCAAAAGGCTCCCTGCTTTGATGCACTAGAGCATTTCTACTAATGCAACAGCACTGTACAAGGACAGCAGAAAGTGTCACTCCAACACTGGGCCATGGCAGAATTGCTCTCACTAGCTGTTTCGGGTAGCATGACTGCATTCATGCCACACATGCCCTTGTGAAACCTGCTTAACTGTGTTGCTGTGCTTCCACACACAACTCACCCCAGGTCAAAATGTCCTCTCTTTTCCAGGTGGCTCTAAGAAATGTATCAAAGTTGGAGGTGAGTTTTATGCACCAACCAAATGTGAAGACCCCGGGGGAAAGAACAAGACCCGAAGCCTGAAGCCTAGTGTACGAACCAAGGGATCCCAAGGTCTCCAATGTGTATGGTGCCAAGCGAGACAAATTGCTTTTACCTCTTCTAGCCCATCCTCCGTGCAGAGAAGAGTTTCATAATCCTTCCTGGTCCCACTTTGACATCTCGGCTCAGCCTTGCCTAGCACTGTTTCCTCAGAGCCTATTGAGCAGAATCAGACCTCAGGGCTGGCTGTTCAGCTTGCTCTGTGGCTGTCCGTCAGTAAGGAAGAGCCCTAGACAGGCTTCTGTTGTACCAAACTTGAAAGGCATTAAGAGCTCCCTAGCCCACTTTACTAATCTCTGAACTAAGTTCTGCCTCAGGCCCCTGGGCAGAGCTGCACTCTGCTTTCAGCACCATGGCGCCTCCAGCCAGTCAGTGAATAGCTGCATGCAGGAAGGGACAAGAAGCTGCAAGATCTAGCATTCCCCTCAGACAGGCTGCTCATCCATGCAGTTAGTAGGACCACACCAGAATCTCCAGTCCAGCCGTTCCATTCTCTTCTGTTCATCTCACTTTGCAGAATGGAGAGCTGAAAATAACTTCACAGGGCCGGCTCCAGGTTCCTCCTGTTCACATCATGGATCCACCCCTCCACCAGGTAAAAACTGAATGAGGAGAACTGCTTCCCTTCCTCCCGATCACTGGGTGTGGGAGGAACATTTCTGTTCAGCGTCACTTCTTGCTCTGTGAGGGCGAGTGTTATCACACGACATGCAGGAGCTACACTTAAAAACCCATCATGGCCATTATGAATTCTCTTCTGGCAAACAGGCCTAGGGACGCATCAAGAGTGGACATCAGCATCTCCTTTTCTCTGAACAGCCCCACTTCAGAGAGATTCTCCCTTTGTGCTCTGAAAGCAGCACCTGGATTTAACTTGTTACTCCTTGAAGTCTCAGGTTTCCTCCATCCTCGGCATGCATTAATACCAGGGCTTGGCTAGGACATGTTCTAGAAGAGGCCCTGGCCACAGCCAAGCTGGAAATCCCCAGAAGATTTGAAAGTGAAAGTTCAGCCACTGAGTCCATCAACACCATTCCTATCCTGTCCTACCTCGCCTCCGAAGCATTGCCCTATTTTGATATGAGACAGACAGACAGACAGACAGAGACTGAGACACAGTCCCCTGCAGCTCTCTTTCAAAAAGTACAGCTGAAAAGGTAGTAAGTCTGCATTTAGGTTCACCTCTAAAACACACACACAAGCAGGGCTGTCGGGCACGTTGCACATACCTGCACAGACACACTTTTGCTCTATTTGAGAGCCTGGAACTTGGAACGCAGGATGAGGCTTCCTAGAGGGCTCCACACTTGAATTCTTTGCAAGACCACCCCTGCTGCCTTTGGCAAGTAGGTACCTCCCAGGGACACCCAGCTCTATAGACTGCAGAGCCATCCTGCAGGGATAACAGGGGCACTTTCTGGAGTTGAGGATGTGCTCCAGCAACTAGTTTTTTTGAAATCTCCTAAAAGGATTCAACTGTCTGCTAAGGCAGTACACTTTAACAGATGATGCAGATGCAGCCCATACTGTGGTGAAAGCATAGGCAAGTCAGCATGAGAGGTAACCACAGTTGCAGCAAGGGAGCGATCAGAAAGACTGTTGTGGTTTTGGGCAGTTCCCAATAGTTTGGGCTGCTGTGACATCTTGCCTGGTTTTCCTCCCTGGGTCAGAAAAACGATGATGAATGCGCAGTCTGCAGGGATGGCGGGGAGCTGATTTGCTGCGATGGCTGCCCCAAAGCTTTCCATCTGGCCTGCCTCATGCCACCACTCACCGAAATTCCAAGGTAACCGGAAGCATCCCCGTGCTTGCCCCATACAAGGGCCCCTGCACTGAGCACATCACTTCTTTGCAGCTCACCCTGCTCTGTTTTGTGGGGAAGGGGAGAGGACTCTCAACCATGCTCAGCCCTGACCAAAAAATGCTGAAATTATTTAGCATTAATTTGCACAGGTTTTGTTTAGAGAAAAGTATTGTCCTTAAATACAGAGAGGCTTCAGCCTCCCACTGCAACAGGGCTCTCAGGCACATATAAGGGTCATGCACAGGGCCAGGAGCTTGGCCAAGGTAAAGCAGCACAGTCTCCTTGCTGTGGAGGGAGCTCTTAGTTAACAGAGGCCAAGGTTCTGCCTGCAATGTCTAGCTGGTACTCTAGATTTACACAGCTGCAACCTGTGTGACCGAGTCTGCAGAACTGATTCATTTCCCAGGGGAAGGGGTTTCCATTAACCCTGTGCTGACAAAAGATATCGATCTTCTTTACCAGTAGTTAATCATTTACAGTTAAGTAGTTACATTTCTACCCTGTCTTCTGAATGACAGAAGCAGGTCAGCTTTGCCTTCCCCTGCCTCGTTTTTCCTTCGTGGGGGCTCAGGTATTGCTCTGCCTTCTCCCTCCGAGCAGTGGAACGTGGAGATGCCTCTCCTGCTCAGCGAGGCGGGTGAGGCAGGACGGACACCTGGAAGAGGAGCAGACCAGGGAGCCACCATCTGAGAACCAGGTATTGTGAGCTGCCTCAACCCACCAGTCCCAGCCTCTAACAACCACTGCCCTGTCAATACCTTCACCCTTTCTTCCTTGGCTGCCTCAGCGTGGGTAAAAACTGGTGGCATCCCAGAGGCTAATGGGCTTCTGTACTTTGTCTATGATGTGCTACAGAAGTCTCTAGCAGCCGTTTGGGGTGGGAGGCAAGGCCCCCCTTTCACCCTTCCTGCACCTGTATAACAAAAGACCAGAGGATTTTGCTGCCTGCTCTTCCCAGCCTGCAGGAATACTTCTCTTCCCATAAAGGCACAGCACCTCAGAGGAGGTGGGTGTGCTTTTATATGGCACTGGCATCAGAAGAAGGACCTGTGGTGCCCCGAACAGTCTCCTCCAGGGCTGATCTGGATCTGAACTAACTCATGACGCTCCTGTTTGTGCCTAGAAGGGTCTGTGTGGACAAAGAGCAACTGGAGACAGGGAGAGGATTCTCCTCAGACAGCCCACACCAGCCTGCGATGCCTCCTTCACTTTCAAACAACCGTTGCCCCCTGCATCATGCCCCTCACCAATGCCTGTGGCAACACCAACCTCAGCCCTCCGGCTACCGCAGAACCTGGGCCCAGAGAGACAGCTGGTTTGTGACACTGCTTTCTGTGCAACTTTTACTACCTAACCGGCAGGGGCATTTTATTTCTCGTGTGTGTAAGAGCATCTAAAGCCATCTCGGTTAGTGCTGTAGCCAGTTACCTTGCTCTGCACCCTCCAAATTTCTCCAGGGTGCTCTAACTAGAGCCCCAGCAGTACAGGGAGCAAGGGTCAGAGGATGTGGGTTAACAGTGAGCATCTACCAGGCCCTCCCCCAGGCTAGGAGAGGGGGCCAGAAGTGGTGCTGCACCTAGGCAAGAGGGTAGGGTGAGGGGGAAGGTCAGTGCACACAACCAGGAGGTCCACCACACCTCTGAGCCAGAGCATGGAGCTGGGAAAACCACTGCCAACTTGACTCCTCTCCTTCTGACAGAAACTGACAGTGGGCGAAAAATGTGGAGTCTGCAGGGGGGGAGGAGACACGATCTACTGCACCCAGTGCTTCAAGGCCTTCCACTCGCACTGCCACTTCCCTGCACACACAGATCAGCTCAGGTAAGTGTCACATGAGCCAAGCAGAGCTGAGCTGGCCTCAAGTCCCCAGTTTCATGCAGAGAGTTCTTCCGTTTTTTCACAACATCCTTGAAAGTTAGGGTTGGACGGGACTTCATTACGTCATCTAATCCAGCTGCCTGCTCAAGGTAGGATCATCTAGCCCTAAATCTCCCTCATTTTAATTTAAGCCCATTAATTCCTGTCTTGCCCCTTGCGGACAAAGAGAATGGTTGGTTGCCGTCCTCTTAATGACACCCCTTTTTTGAATTTGAAGATGTATCAAATTGCCCCTGTCTTTTCTTCTTTAAACTAAATAATCCCAATTCCACCAGCCTGTTGTCCTACGCCATGTGCTCTAGACCTCTAATGGTTTCTGCTGCCCTCCTTAGGACTCTTTTCAGTATCCTCATTTTTCCTGAAATAAGGTGCTCAGAACTGGGGACAGTACTCCAGGTGAGACCTTGCCAATGCTGAAGAGAATGAAATAATTGCTTTTTAAGACTTGCATTCAATACTTAATTCAATACACTTCAGCATGATGGTATTACTATACCAATATTATGCTAAGAGGCAACTGTACTATTTGTAACAATCTGACATGGCTGACTTACACACAGTTGACTATCCACTATGACCACCCAGATCCTTTTCTGCAGTACTACAAGAATGGAAGTTAGGCTCCCTGGAAAACAAACCAGCACTGTAGATTTCTATGTTTTTTTTAAGTAAATGACACTTCCCTAGTACTCCATGACTTTTTGCCTGACAAGGCACAAACCACTCCTATTCCAAATGCCACATGCGTGCTCCAGGTCCCACTAGCGAGTCTAGCCAGTGTTTAGAACCTGAGGGCTACTCCCTCACTATCAAAAGCATTGAAGTCATGTATAGATTGTGTTAGCTCCTTCACATCTATGAAGATGGCTCCTCTACTTCACCTACCTTTCCAATTCCAGCCTCATAAGGAAAGGATCATCTTGTTTTTTCCAGTCCATAGGGTGATGCCTAGACCGGGACCCATTAAACTTGTTCTTTATCTTCGGTTCCAGTGAAATCCTGATATGCAACTCTTGCTCTGGCGGCCCTGGAAACAGCAGCGTGGAGGGAGCAGTGGCATCAAGTAACCCTGCACTACGAACAGTGAAGGCAAGTACATTCATATCCATTTCCACAGTCAGTAGGATTTTCAGGGAATTTCTATTTAAGGATCTTAACATGAGTGTTAGCAACCTCGTCCAGCATACCTGGAGGCCGGACTCTGCATTTCTATATCCTCTCCCAGTAAAGGAACTCAGAGAACTTTATAAACATACATCTGTCTGTGAGTTGGTGGGGCTTTACCCTTCTAGAAATAAAATATTCAGTATTTTCCCCACTCGTGCAAACAAGGCAAGTAGTTGCACTTTACCCAAGGGTCACAAAACCCTTGGAGGAACTAGTCCTGGAATCCAGCTCTCTCAACGCACTGTCCTGTGCTTCAACCACCTTCTTTCTAGATCCAAATGATTGCAAGAAACACCATGTGCTTTTATAGGCTACTATCTAACATGAATTATAATAGCAGTAAGATTCAGACCACCACAAAATAATGACAGAACTTTAAGTCCCTCTGATTCAGGTGAGCATAGTGCCTGGGTAACATTTTTAAAAGTGCTTTGGAAAATGTTACCTTTGCTGCACGCACTGGCATACATCACTTAGTAGACAGCATCATATTTATAACTACTCCAGTGATGACAGAAATAACATATCCCAGTAGTAGCTGTTCTGCTCAGCCTGGACCTTGTGCACCCCAGCTCTTTGACCATTCAGAAGCAAAACACACCACTCTACTTCTGGGAGTACTGAAAGTACAGGCTGGTGTAATTTCCTTGCTCCAGGTTAGGCTCCTATTGAATTTAGCCACACACTGCTCCTACTTAGATCACTCTCTGCTGAACAAACCCCATGTTACTACTGGTTTCTTTAACTCTCAATACTGGGCAAACTTCTGCTCTCAATTGCAGCAGGCTTATATTTGGTATGTAAATCTATTGATGCTAATGGCAATACTTCACCATAATGCCAGTGACACCAAGTGTAGACTTGGGCCTGTGATGGAGAACATGTTTTTACCTTCATGCTGGGGAAACTGAACTGTCTGGTTACTGTTCTGGATTTCAGGTGGTGGAAGAGTCTTCTGGGGGTGACCCAATACTGAATAAAGAGGAGTTGGACTCACTCCTAAGTGAGGTAACAAAACCACTTACTTTCTTGTCTCTGATTTGGCTTCAAATGAGAAAGCAAGCCATAATCTGAGTTGATCAGTCCCTGCAGTTCCTGGCATTCATGGGCACTCTGTTCACATCTCATTTCCGAATCTAGGTCCAAAGGAAACTGGGCCCAAGCGCAGAAAGCCTGGTGCACTTTCAACGGTCTGGTAATGCTGTGCTTGTATGGACAGTCCTGCTGCTCACTGAACCTGCCCTGAAAGCATTACTATGCCATCAAAAACACCTGCTTTTGAAAGCTTGTTCATTAAGGCTCTGGGGAAACCAGGAACCAGGCCTATTTACAAGGTTTATAGTACCGCAGAGCTCATTTATTTTAACAAACTTTGGAAGTGGGGCTTGTGAAAATGAAGGACTGAGCACAAGCAGATGTGTGCAAGGTTGTCTCACGTGTAGTTGACTTGCTTCATCTTTCACTAGCACAGAGAGAAACTCAACTCCCTGTGCCATAGAAATTCCCCCTTTACTTTCCTAGGCACCCTGCACACATACACTTTATCCTGTCTTGTACTGTCTTCCAGAGTTCATTTGACGGGATCCTGCAGTGGGCATTCCAGAACATGTCTCGGCCGCTGTCAGATGCTCAAGGATTATTTTCTTAGTACCTGCTGTAATGGTGGACAGAGCATGCAGACTTGTTGCCCTTCATGCTGTGGATTTGACCATCAGTTATCTGTAAACATCAGGTGTAGACATCCTGGGCTACACCTGGGACTTTACACATTTGGCTCCAAATTCACACACCCCTGCACATACTAATTTAAACTTCTTTATAACAGTGTTACCTTAAATTCATATTAATATAATGCATGCTTTATGGTCCAATGTCTTGACAAAGTGGGATTCCTTAAACCCCAAAGGATCATTCACCAACTCTTAAATTTTTAGTTCCAAATTGTCCTCTCTTTTCCTATTCCAGTCCAGGTCTATCTGCTAATAAAGTAGCAGGCTTCTTTTTTTTAAAAACCCTGCAGGATTTGTTATGGTGTCTTTGTACCCAAATATAGGGTATTTCTAACTGTTTGTTAAAGTAAATCCATCTATTTTCTTTAAACCAGACAAAGTAAAAGTAATTAGACAAGTAACTAGACAAAGTAAAGTAATCCATCTATTCTCTTTAAACTAGACAAAAAAGGTGTCTGAGATGTCCATGCCTGGCTGCAAAAGAACATGGCACCACACAGGAAAGAAAAGAGAACGTTATTTCACTCTGTCTCCTTCTGTACCAGGTCTCTTTTCTCATTGCTTTGTACACTCCTGTTCTTCACTCAGTTCTCCAGTTCAAGCTGTCCTCGACTTACAACGTTTCGCACTTACAACGTTTATAAATTGACACCCTGTTTCAACTTTATGACATCTATTTCAACTGTACAACTCTTGATCTGATGCAACGCCACACCAGCGAACCAGTTTGTTGCGTCACTCATCTCCCTGGAGAACATCTGTCCAAACTTCCTTGGACACTTTCTTTAAGAAAGCAGACAAGACTTCAGAAAAACCTGCAGCCAAGACTCCTGAGAGGACTCCAGCCAAGAACCCTTCAAAAAGTCCAACCAAGGGCCCTTCAGAAAGTCCAGCAAGTCACCTCAAAGAAGTCCTTTTGAATCAATGTGATTGCTATTTACAATATAAATACATTAATGTAGCTATATTACTCATCTATAATTGATCGAGTACAAAATTCTGGGGTATTTTTGGTGAAAATAGGGTATCGGGCCTTGGTTCAGGAACCAATTCCCCATTTATAACATTGCTTCTTATGAGAAAATTGGTTCCAAGTTACAACGTTTCGACTTAAGATGAGGTTTTCAGGAACCAATTGTGTAGTAACTCCGAGGACTACCTGTACTCACTCCACTGTTCCCTACTGCAACCATGTGTCTGTTGCACCCTCACATGGGTAAGGGAGTTCCCTCTCTTCCTGGGAGAGATTTTCCTTCCCAATCCTCCCTAGACAGGGGTTGCAGCAGAGTGTTAAGATAGGTCTCCAGAGGCACGCATACACATACATTTGTCTGTTCCAATGCACCGGAGATTCAGCGCGTCACAGCAGACTTGATTAATTAACTTGATTCCGCACGTGAGCTGAAGCACCTGGCACTGCGTCGCATGCATTTGTATAAATGGTGAAATGCGCATCAGCACTGAGAAAATGGCGGTAGCGCACTTTTGAACTAACACACATAGAAGGTGTTTTAATTCAAAAGAGCATCACCGCCATTTTCTCAGTGCTGATGCACATTTTGCCATTTTTACAAATGTATGCGCTGCGGCACCGAGCATTTTTAAAAGCATGTGTACAAGTGCTCCAAGGTCCCATCACCTCTGACGTAGTGCAATTTTGCAGAATTCAACATTTTCATCAAGAACTTCAACATTTTTCTGCAGCCAGGCCTCTGACACAGGGAGCCAGAGCTGCTGAGGACAGCTAAAAGCTCTCCTTCTTCTGTGGAGAAAAACATACATGTAGGAACAGGTTGAAAGAAGTCATCTGCAGAACTCTGAGGGAACAGGCCATCTAGGGAGCACAGGAGAAATTCATCAACATGTTTTACTGTGAGTATTTGCAACTAGTGCTCCTCCTTAAAGCTTTATTGGAAATGAAGACCTAGGGCACCTAAGTAACCAAAACTCTGCAGTGCAGCAACACATTACAAATGTCAGACTTAAGAGAACCAACACTTCCTATGTTCTCTCATATCCAGTCTAAAACTACCATCAATCTTTTCAGTTGTCTCATCCTCCCCCAGTCTTGTCTTCTCCAGATCAAGTAACTTTAGGTCTTGCAACCTTCCTTTGTATGATTTCCTCTGGAGTCTGAGTTAACTCCACTTTTGCTGATTTCCTCTGGATTCCCTCCAGTTTGCCCTCAGCTTTCTTGAAGGCCGATGTCCAAAACTGGACTCTGTACTCCAAATGAAGCTTCACCAGTGCTGAAGAGAATAGTGTTGTTCCCTGTGATTTGCTATAGCTTTTTTTTTTTTTTTTT